CGATCCTTTATTCTGGTGTCGAGGAATCCAAAAATGGACTTTCCTTGACCTTTTCATGAAGACTATTTAAAAGTTTCAAAGGGACAGAGTAAAGTTTGGTGCGAATATGATGTAGACCTAACTGTTGATTTACGTAAGGTAGTATTGAATCAAAAGAGACATCGTGTATTAAAGGTTTATTGTAAGACCGATGCACATGACTACGCTTACGTCTCTGTGTATGGTTAAAAAGCCCCATCACATTTACTTTTTTAAACTGTGGACTGGAAAAATTTCCAACACTATCGACATTGTCATTACATCCATAGGGAAAGGCTGTCCCTAGCTTTCTTATCCAAAATTCTTCTCGTTGTCTACGGAAAGGTGTACTCAGTGATGGACTGTGTGTGGTGGTAAATCTTTTCCAGAATTCTAACTTTCATTGACAAAATAGAATGATAAGGTAAATTAAAATGTCTGTATAAAAGTTGCTGACCCCCATTATTTATCTGAAATCTATGACTGATGTTCTTTTATTGAGTGATCCCTTGGTTTCACCAACATAAACAAGTCCACAAAGATTACATTCTATTCCGTAGACAACATTAGAAGATTTGCAGTTCAGATTTTCCCAAGTTTTGGTACAGAAGCTCTGTCCAGTAAGATTACTGGTGAAAGAAGTGTTAGTTATCAAAATGTCACAGGTTTTACAGTTTTTCGCAGAACATTTTGAAATAGAAGATATTGGATCGAAAAAGGAGTCTTCGAATATATCTCTAATAGAAACTTTGCTTTCTTTCAATTTTTTGTATGAACTATTGGTTTTATACCAGAACTGGGAATCTGAAGACTGTACATCCTTCTCAATACTTTTATTTTTTGCATTTCTTTTAATTTATTCCTATTATTTCTTTATTTTTGGAAAAATGGTGTGCATGCTTGAGCATACAATCATACATGGTAGCCAAAACACTGATAGTATACTTTTAATTTTCTTTATCAAATGAAATATAAAGATAACGAACAGTATTCAATCTCGAAAGTCCAATGAAACTATAAAATTTGGAGCAGAGCAAACACGGACCTCAAAGTTTAGAGGTGAGATCAGGTGCTGTGGAGGAGTGTGCCGACCGATCACACCCGCCATGTGCTCCTTGTCATGACCAAAAAAATAATAATAATAATTAAAAAAAAAAACAAAAACAAAAAAAAAAAACAAAAAAAAAAAACGGGAAAATCCGTAGACAGTTCAGTGTATAAATATTGGCCTAACAATTAGTATGAAAAACATCAGTCAGCATTTGACTCAATGATAGGTTGTATGTACTGACAAGGTCAATGTATCGACCGTAAAACTTGCGAAATGATGACTTCAAACGAGACTGTTGATATCCTTGTTTCATCAACATTTTTGTCAATAGCTTGCCTCGTTTTAGAAATTGTTCATAGGTAGAGCAAAGTATAATTATACAGATATATTCTTTCCTTAATATTTTTCACAGTCACGACAGAAATTCTTTTTTGTAAACGATCATGTAATAAAGTTTCCATTCTAATCCTTTAACACGATTGTATAATAAAGTTCCCACTGTAATTATCATATCTTCTATATATTCAGCAAAATCTCAAAACTTTTGCACTTTCCAAGGAGTTGTTGGTACTTTAATAAGGGCAATTGCTTGTCATTTAACGCTATAGAAACTATTTGTGATCAAATGTTTTCATTTGATGTTGTTTTTACTACATAGTACAGATTAAAAGTACATATATCCGTTAAAAAGGAATTTCATTTTATGTTAATTGAATATTAATGAATTTGTACTTTTGGATTATTCAAATGTACAATTCTCTCTTGTGTAATTTCTATGAGAATAGTTTTTGAAACTAAACTGAAATATGAAAGACTTCACGAAAGTGTACTCTTTGAGGACTCTGTTGGGACAAAAAAAAATCTGTTTGACTTTACAGTTATCAAAGTAAAAGAATACACAAACAAATTAAAATGCACTTTAGATAAAAGTTATGATTTTTAGAAGGATATTTTTCACAGAGAAAAAATATCAAAATGAAACAAAGAAAAGTGCAGCAAAACCCTCGATTTCATTTCCTTCAGGAAAGAGTTTAAAAGCAGTCCCTGTTATAAATAAAGGGAGAGTGCATAACCCATACTGACGCGGATTAAAACGCAAAGTTCCTCCAATTTTTTGTCAAAATACATTTTTACATTTTTTAATCTCACAATGGCTTACCTTATGACGTCCTGTAACCGCTTAACTATGGAGTCACAGCCTAGGTACGACGTTTGTCAAGAAAAGACAAAGGCAAATAAAAAAAGAGAGTTTAATAAATAGAAAATTCGATGATTTGTAGTTGGGTATCAAATTTTCTTTCACACGTAGATAGATTTTTTTTTGACATTTTCTCTCTTGCTTCCTGAAATAAAGGCTATTCAATGTTTGTAGATGGAGTTTATCTAATGAGTGGGACAGGTGTTTTTAATATTTTCACGAGTGCGAAGCACACTTACTTCCGACGTATGTGTACAGGTCTGTATTGACAAATAATTATATAATTACATTTCATGCCAAAAAAAAAATGCTGGCTAAATAAGAAAATCTACTTCTTGTCTCATGCAGACAACAGAGCGTTAATTTACCTTTGACCTGAGCAATCAAGCTGACTTAAATTTATCAGAAAGATTCGCAACAGTCTTTACATTTATTCTTAGACATTTATCCTTCGACAAGTGTTGTACAACAATTAATTTAATATTTTGAGGATTTTGTCATACTGTTTAGATTCTCATCTTACCTCGATTACTTTTGATGATGTGATCTTTGTTTACTAAAATTTTAGAAGGAAGAAGATTTCGAAGATATTCTGAAGAACTAAAAGTACTATCGTTGTGTTATAACGAGCTACTTGCTTACTCAAACGTCCATTCCTTTAATGATGTTTGATCAGCTCGAGAAATGTAAGTAAGAAATGGATTTTGCCATTTTGTACTAATTATCAAACTGACTGACCAATGGCTGTTCTTGTAATCTCCCTCCCTAATTCAACATGTTTGTTATGACCTAATTATTTCTTATTCTTGTTCATTCCTTTGTGCGGAGATTTGTACATTTTGTTTTAAACAGTGCAGACAGCCGTGTGAATCAAAACTTAAATTTGAATTGTGATGAAGTTCAGATTTATTACGTTGGAGCTTTTTTGGAGATGGTTCGCAAGCTTGAATTGATTTACGTTACGAGATTAATTTGCCATAGTTTAACAGCAGGATGAAAGAGCTAAACAGATGGATCTCAAATTTTGCTAAAAGTAGATGGTGCAACCATCTTCCGTCTAGCAGGATTCTGCGCCCCCCCCCCCCCTCCCCTACTCAAAGTAGAGTCTACCTTGATGAAGTAGTCCATTTAAATGAAAAAGGGAACATCAAGTATTACAATAACATTAGAGCTGTTGTTGTTTCTTCTCTAAAATCTCTGCACAATGGTGGGTAAAGTTAATTGTTATGATTGTATGCTACACCACTATAAAGTTGAGTTTTATTAATTATGCATATTTCTAGACTGAACTGATCTTTTGTTTATGAGGCTTATACTTGATACTACCTCTATATAGTAAGGGCTCACACTAAACACATTAATATTTGAACTTTGAACTTTAAGTTCGGGTTGTTATACCCATTTATGGAGTATTGAAAAATGGCCACTACTTTTCGTCAACCCCCAACCCAATTCAGTTTTCGTGGGAAACATGGACAGCAAAGGGTTTCGTACAAAAGTAAAAAAAAAACACAAAGGTGCTATACATACCACAAAAGTGGAACATGCTCTAACCAACAATGTCAATATAAACACACCTGCTTTCAGTGAAGAAAAACATTCAATCTTGTACAGCACATAGGGAGATAAATCAATGTAGAAGACACCAGTACCCCACATCAAATAAAACAGACAGCAATCTCCCCAAGCACAAGCAAATAAACTAGTAGTAACAACAGTTGAGGGGCATGGTGACAATTTGAGATCATATCTAATTTAGGAGTTTCAAGAAGGCTTCAAGATACAATTATGAGGGTCCAAGGCAAAAACGTTTCGTAAGAATTAACTATCGGTTCGGCAACATGAAAATATACTTAAAAAAACCCCCAATTTCCCTCGGTAGGATTGTTCTCCCCTTTTCACTAATCTTCAGATTGATTAATTGATTGTATTTTGTTTTAAGGTGCGGTCACACGATGCGATTTTTGATTCGATTTTACGTGATGACTTTAACTTTTCAATCGTCAACTTCTCTTACTTATGCAGTAATATACCCTTATCACCTGTATATTGGGTGTGTATCTCTCAGTTGATTCGGTACGCAAGAGCATTTTCTACTTCTGAACAATTTCTAAAACAAGGTACGTTATTGACAAACAAGTTGATGAAACAAGAATTCAACAGTCTCAAGTAAAGTCATCATTTCGTAAGTTCTATGGTCGATACAATGACCTTGTCAGCAAATACAATTTATCTTTGAGTCAAATGCTGACTGACGTGATTCATACTTATTGTTAGGCCATTATTTACACACTGAGATGTATCAGAAATTTCTGTTATTTCCCGCTCATGACAAGGAGCACATGGCGGGTGTGACCGTTCGGCAGGGAATGCTTACTCCTCCGTGGCACCTGGTCCCCCCTGATGTTTTTGGAGGTTCTTGTTTGCTCTGCTCCCGCTTTGTATTGTTTTAAATGACTTTAAGCTTGAATTCTGTTTGTTATCCCCATATTTCACTCTCATAAATTATAAAATACAGCTGAGAGTACGTTTAACCGATAGAAAAAGTGCCATAATAGTAAAAAAAACTATGCTTTTCTATAGTATTTTTGTGGATAAAAATATAACTCAATTATTAACCATTGATGTATCTTTATTATCCAAGTATGCCAGAGATGCTAATGGGAGAAGGATTGTGACTTGCACGGTCGTAGTAACAATAATGAATTTTCATATCGCCAGTCTTACAGCCACCTTCAACAAATGGATGAGCTCCGGTGCAATTATTACCATTTCTGTTGTCTTCATTGTCATAGTAGATAAACTCATCGGACACGCTCATACCTAGGACTTCTTGACACAGTCCAGTATATCGCATGAGATAAAAAGGTTTATCAATTGGCAGAAGTATGGGTATGTTAGCTTAGCTATCTTGTCTGAAAACAAATGTTTGTATAGTTTAACAGCAGTAAAAAAATGAAAATAAGTCCTAATAAAACCCGTCATTAAATCTTTATCAAAATAGACTTTGCAATTTACCTGCAACAAAAGGAAATGGAATTTCCATCGACGAAGAATCCGTCAGGCAATGCCCCAACATGAACATTACCATTATTGTCATCTTCATCATCCATATGCAAAACGCCTTGCCTAAAACCTGTGGTATAGGTACTTGTAATGTATGCAAGCAGTATGACATTTTATTTTATTTAATGACAAAAGATCGATGTATTAAGTATTTTATACAGTATAATAATTGCAATGTAGTGAATACAATTAAAAAGTTGAACTTTGAAAAATCTAACATTTGTAAAAATACACATTTTCATATTCGTTTGTTCCAATGGATATTGTAAATTTATTTAACAAACAATAAATAAATTAAGTGCTCGATTGTTTTCTTACCAGCTGGACAATCTCCTTTCTTTAAAATGCAGTAGTTTCCAGATGGCCATGTCCGATTATATTCAGTTGGTGTAACTTTTATTTTCATACAAAAATATGTTGCAATTTCTCCATGGTTGAACGTTCCTAAAATTCAGCAGTTTGTTTGTACATTAGATAGATTAGGTATCGAACTCGGGTATTAGCAGATCGGATATTGTAAAGCATGAAAACCCCAGTGACTATTTAGTGAACAAAAAAGTGTTTTATATCAACTATATATCACAGGCAGAAGTGGCTTACATAAATTTTATATGAAATGCACATGAATTTCATGTGAATTCTTTGCATGAGAAAGAGATGAAAAACAAGACATGTTAAATTTATATGCCATTTTGACATAACTTTCATATGAATTTTACATGAAGAGCATATAAACGTATAAATATCGTGCAAAGAAAACTTCACATGAAAGTTCTAAAAAAATATGTGAATATCATACAAACTTATTCACATGATATTTACATGAAAAAATATTTATATAATTTTTTCATGATTTTCGCATAATTTTCAAATAAAAAGATAATCACATAAATATTATATAAGCCACTTTTCCCTGTGATATCATATTCCGGTAAAAAAGTTTTGTTAGCAATGTCTCAATTCCAAACATATTTTTTTCAGTCAAAAGATAAATATATACCATTTAAATGAATTCCAGTTGTCCAGTTATTTTGGTTTTTGAAATCTTCTGTGTCGTCGATAAAGTAACCGGTAGAAAAACCACTTGGATCCTTTGGACATCCAGTCTTTGGCATATATAGTCCGTAAGTACCAGTTGGCCACGTTATCGGCAGTCTCATGTCCACTGGTGTGTATGTAATGAGTGAACAAGTGAATATTATTAAGACGATTTTATACACTAGAGAATTTCAGGTAAAGCATTGATTTTCCGAGAAATCTCTCTCTCTCTCTCTATTTGATTATGAAATGTGTGGAGATAACGAACAGTATTCGGGCTCAAATGTCCATTTAACATTACAAAATAGGAGCAGAGCAAACACAGACCTCTAAGACATCAGAGGTGGGATCAGGTGCCATGGAGGAGTGAGCATCCCCTGCCGACCGGTCAAACCGGCCGTGTGCTCCTTGTCATGATTAGGAAATAACGGAAAAATTCGTCGACAATTCATTTTGTAAATAATGGCCTAAGAATTAGTATGATAAAAGTCAATCAGCATTTGACTTAATGAAAGAGTGTATTTGCTGACAAGGTCATTGTATCGACCATAGAACTTACGAAATGATGACTTTAAACGAGACTGCTGATATTCATGTTTCATCAACCTCGTTTTAGAAATCGTAGAGCATGCTCTGGCGTATTGAGTCAACTGAGAAATGTAAACCCCATATGCAGGTGATGAGTATATTGCTGCTTAAAACTTTGCTGTGACGCCATGCCTTTGTTCTTGCAGTCTAAAAATTTACCTGTAGCCGTCCGATAATAATAATTAGCAGTCCAATAATATATTATCGGACGGCAGTGATAACAAAATCGGACAGTAGTTAAAAAACAACAACTAGAGTGAAATTAAGGTTTAATTTGTCCAGAAACCAAAAAAAAAAAGTTAGGGAGAAAAAATTCAGGGAAAGCGAACGCGAGAAAATTAAGTTATTAAAAATAGAAAATCCAAGAAGAAACTGGGGTTTTAACCTTCCTCGAAAGTAACACTTTCCATTCGGTTTTTTTGCAAAGCGTTTTCAATACAGCATTGTGAATAAGCTAATTTAAATCCATTTCTGATAAAGAGCCAGTCTGCGAATCTCTTCATTTAACGAGGTTTGTTCGCTAATGACCGCACTTTTAAAACCCAAGATTTTCATTATATCATCAAATGAAAATTGTAGATAAAAAATCCGCATTTTTACTTTAAATGCATTTTGAAGATATCATCCAACACTGTATCTGTATCAATGTCAAACGCACTTAATAAAAAAGAATATTCCGAATCATAAAAAAATCCTTCATCACCTGACCACTGTCCATAGTTCTTGCTAAGCCAAACGACTGCCATTAGATGAATGAAACAAAAGAGTTCACTCACTGATTTTACTGTCTAAAGAAAAAAAAAAAACTTTCTCTTTTCTTTTGTTTACTTATTAGATGGTTTCAGGTATAAAACTTTTGATGCCTGAACTCTTATTGTGTAATTATCGGACTCCTCCAGGTAACTTTTGGACATTTAAATAGCAATGTTTTAAGTAAGATATATGCCTCATATAATTCTATATGTAAAATTATCAGACTGTTTTCGGCCCTAACGGGCCTCAAACAGTCTGATAATTTTACATATAGAACAGTAGTAGGCATTTATCCAATTATATTGGCGAATTAGTCACGTGACACAGACGAAGCTAGATGTGTTTTCTGCCGCTCTGTGTTTTTTTGACAATTTCTTCCGAATTTGAGTTTCTTCTTGAGGAATATTTAAGTTTCGGAAGTCTAGTGTGTGTATGTGTATGCTTGGCTTCGGGATTTTTCATCAAAAACTCATTGTAAAAAAGTTTGATTTCGTGTATATATGTTTATTGATTTCATCAGTGATTTCTTCTCACTTGTTTACCTGTGTGTTTCACCTGACGATGGCTGAGAGTGATTTCGACTCAATCTCTTCCACGGTCGATAGAACATCAAAGCCGTTATACTTAAAGAACAATGACCTCCGGGGTTCCTCTAAAAAACAGATCACTGACTTTGATCTTATTGACCCAATAACAAAAGTAATCGGCGATGATCTATTGTGCGTGCAACTTGACCGCAATCTTTGGAGAATTTACCTCAAAAGTACAGAATGCAGACTTAAGCTTCTCACACAGGGTGTTGATATCGATAGTGTATCCTACCAGTTTTATGATACAAACCCATACACCTCTGGTGCTACATCTGTAACTCAAAAAACTCTTAAACTACGGATATGTGGTCTTCCCCTCTCTGTTGCCGATTCCGCGGTACAGGAACTACTTAACAAGCTGAATGTCAAATTAACAAGTAAAATCCTGTACGAAAAGATCCGCCATCCAGATACAAACCGGATGACAAGTATCCTAAATGGGACCAGGTTCATGTATATTGAGCCTCTTCCAGACGGAAAATATCTACCCAGAATTAATTACTGTGGTGGTATTCAGAGTAAGCTTTTTCACTACGGTCAACCAAAAAAGGACATAAACTTTCTATGTACAAATTGCTGGAAAACTGACCACACTCGCTCTAATTGTACATTCGATACCTGCTGTAAGGTATGCAAACAACCTGGCCATTCCCCCGGGAATGAAGCATGCCCGCATTACCAGCCACAAAAGCATTTGACCCCTTTCTGTGGTGCAGAGGATGTTCTATCCAATTTTTACCCATGCAATATGGATATATTTGGTGTCAAACACAAGTCGGCTGAGCATGCCTTTCAGTATATTAAAGCAATAAGATGTGGTGACCTAGAATCTGCCAATATCATCATGGATGCCGATGATGCCCTTTCCGCTCTACGCCTAGGCAAAAAAATTAAATCCAACGAGCAGTGGGAGTCTACCAAGGTGTGTGTCATGGAGGAGATCTTGGAAAACAAATGTGTCCAGGTACCTGTTTTCAGAGATAAATTGTGTACCTCCAAGCAATCGACAGTTTTTGTGGAAACAACGTACAACAATGAGTGGGGATCTGGACTTGACCGTGATGGTACGTGCAACACTAAACCTGAACACTGGCCGGGAAAAAACACTCTTGGTGTCCTTATGAAAAAAATTGCAAAAAAAGTTCGGAAAAGAAAGCTAAGTGATCCTACAAAAAACGAAAGAAAACAAAAACAAAAAGAACATTCGAACCAACGCACAATAGTGCAAATGCTACATCAACTTAGAGAAATGTCTGACAGCGATGCATCTGGCTGTAATCCTGACACGGAGAGTTCCGAGGATGAAAAGTAACTATATTTTCTCCGGTCAGACTGACGCAGCATTTCATGAACTATGGTATGTGCTTAGTGTTATATTTGTTTATAGACAAAAATGGCATACTTTAAAAATGCTTTCATGAATTGGTATAACTTTTTTTTTACTTGTAAACTAATTACACTTATATTAGCTTATTTCCCTTTTTTCTTATATGACATTATTATACAGTTATATCCGACAGAAAAATGAAAAATTTAAGTTTACTGTCGGTGAATGTAAGAGGTCTTAATTCGCCGGAAAAAAGAACCAAAATTTTTACATGGTTAGAAGAGAGTAAAATAGATCTAAAACTTTTACAAGAAACTCATTTTGTTGAAAAACGTGTGGAAAATTATGATAGAAAATGGAACGGGAAAATAGTACATGCTTTTTCAGACTCTCCTTTTAGTAGAGGAGTTTCCATTCTTTTCAACAGAGAATGTAATGTAGATATTTTAAATGTACATAAGTCTAATGATGGAAGGAAAATACTTATTAACGTAAAAATAGACGATAATTTATTTACAATTATTTACGTATATGCACCCAATAAAGAGTCAGATAGGTTAGCCTTCTTAAACACGCTCAACAAATTTATTTCTTCCTTTTCTGCGCAAGATAGTACGATCATAATAGGAGGTGATTTCAATTGCAATTTTAATAAAAAAAATGACAAATCAAATAAGAAATTAAATAAAATAGTAAATAAGCTCGACTTAGTCGACGTATGGCGTAATAAAAATCCTGCTAACAATGGTTATACATGGTGTGATGCAGAAAATTGTCCAAAGAGTAGGATAGATTATATTTTTGTAAATAAAGACTTTATAGAACGTTTAAAAAATATCATTGTCAGACGAATTCCAGGTACTCATAATAATAGCACACGGTTAAGTGACCACAGATATCTTAAATGTACTTTAAATCTTAGTAAACTAGAAAGAGGTGCAGGTTACTGGAAATTAAATGTATCTCACCTTGAAAATGATGATTACAAACACGGTATAATAGATATATATAACAATATTGATGAAACGCTAGATCCAATTTTGAAATGGAAAACTATTAAAATAAGTGTTCGTGATTTTTCTATTAAATACGCAAAACAATCTAAGCATAATATAAAATATAAAGTAAAACTGCTTGAGGAAAAAATCGATAATATTGAATCATTGCGTAGTTCAGAAATTAATATGAATGAAAAGCGAAAACTAGAGAAAGAATTAGATGCAATGTATGACGAAATTGCTAAAGGAGCTCAAATAAGATCAAAAGCGCAATGGATAAGCGATGGAGAGAGAAATACAAGTTTCTTTCTAGGATTGGAAAAAAAAAAACATCAATCAAATAATACGATAACTAAAAAAGAATAATAAAACATTTGCTAGTAATAGTGAAATTTTACAAGAAATGTGCCCTTTTTATGAAAACTTATATACAAGCAAATCTGTTGATGATAACAATATTTCGTCTTATTTACAAGACATTGAATGTCCAAAGCTCAATGATCGCGAGAGAAAGTTTTGCGACACATTTCCAACATTTGATGAATGTTCAGATGTGGTTCATAATTTAAAAAGCAACAAATCTCCAGGTTTAGATGGATTACCAGGGGAATTTTATAAATGCTTTTGGAATATAATTGGACCTCTCTTTTACGAAGTGTTATTAACTGTATTTGAAAAAGAAGAATTACCATATTCTCAGCGATTGGCACTTATCACTCTTTTATTTAAGAAAGGTGACAAGAATAGTCTTAAAAACTACAGACCATTAAGTTTAACAAACACCGATTACAAGATTATAGCCTTTGTTCTCGCAAAAAAATTACAAAGTGTCATAGATAAATTAATTAGTAAGGAACAATCGGCATATATC